CGCGACAGAGGCCACGCCGCAGGGCCGAGACCAGCGGTGCGTGGCGATGTCCGAGATGCCGGACGGTGAGGTGGCGCGGATGGTATAGCGGCATGCGGAGCGCGCACACAAGGTAATGCAGGCATGCTGTTGTCGTGAAGCCTGGCGCGATCTTGGAGGAGTAGGACGACAGAGCGCGAAGAAGAGGGAGCAGAGGTCGCGCACGAACCCACACATCTCCACGACGACCCCTCCCCCGCCGCCGCGCCCTGCGGTGCGAGCGCGACGACACCGGCGACGACGATGGACACGAAGAGCGCGCCGCCGAGCGCGCAGTTGAGCCCGTAGCAGCCGCCGTCCCCGCTGTCGCCGGCAGCGAACGACACGACGCTGGCGAAGACGTCGGGTGCGCCATTGCCGAGCGAGAGGAGCGTGATGCCGGCGACAGCGGGGGGCAGGCGCAGCGCGACGTAGAGCCCCTTGAGCGGCGCGCATAAGTACTCGGACGCGGTGCCGCCGAGTAGGTAGAAGAACACGACCAGCCAGAGCAGGAACGCCGCGTACCCGGCCGCCGGGGTCGCAACGAAGCCGCAATAGAAGAGGTGGAGGTAGTCAATGTACCCGACCGACGCGCAGGGGGTGTGCGACATGAGGTAGGCGCATCGGGCCTCCGCGCGCGTCCAGGGACTGTAGCTCTTGGCAGCCCCCCGCGGCCTGGTGGCGCGGAAAGGGGAGGAGAGTGTTGCCCGATGCACGACCTGATGTGTGACAGGAGGGGGGTAAATGCAAAAATTGCGGCGCTGACCGACTCGGTCCAGCTGGCTCCACTTGGCTGCTTGTGTTTGGCACAGGATCAAATGTGCACATCTGTGACAAGTTTTAGGAGTAGTTGCCTTTTACAAACTTTTAGGATCAAATCATTATATTCTGGACAAGTTTTAGGACCTGTGGTGCTATTACCTCCTGTTCTAACCAAATCCACCCTCGTCTTCCTCAGCGCATCGCCTGAAAAAGAAAAGGAAAAAAAAAAACCAGCAGCGGCGAGGAGGCGGGGGAGTCGGGGGACCGGCGGGAAGGAGGACTCAGGGAAACGGCGGGAAGTCGACGAGGCCCAGGAGCTGTCCACGCCCCACGCGCGGGATGCGCAGGCCGCC